TGTGTGTTGGGGAGGGCGGTTTAATGTGCTGGGGGGGGGGATGTGTGTTGGGGGGTGTGCGTTGGGGAGGGGGGTGTGTGCTGGGGAGGGGGGGTTAATGTGCTGGGGGGGGGGTTAATGTGTTGCGGAGTGAAGGTGGTGGGGGGGGGGCAAATGCGTCCACTCTCGGGTCCCCGGGACTGCAGCTCCAGGTGATGGGGCGCTGCTAAAGGCCCGCGGCCTCGGTCGCCGGGCCTGCTATCGGTGCAGGTCGAGGCAGCGGCCGCACGGCCTGTGCTCTCACCTGGTGCAGGGCGGTCAGTCCGTCCACATTGGCGTAGTTAATGTCCGAGCCGCGGTCCAGAAGCTTCTTCACTTCGTCTGTGTCCCCGCTGGAGCAGGCGGCCAGGAACACGGCGCCATCGTCAAACTTGACCTTGGTTTTCTTCTTTTTGAGGACGGGTGGCTCGAGCTCAGTCTCCGAGCCAAGCCAGCGCTTCAGCTGCTCGTTCCGCTTCTGCTTGGCGTCCGCCATCTTCTTGGCTGCTTGTGGGCCTTGGCCTTCTCCTCCTCCCGCTCGCTATCCCATCGCCCTGGGAGCCATGGCGCCGCTCATCTGCATGATCCCGCGAGAACCATAAACCACGCCCACTTAGGACGCAGCCGCACCCATCCGCCCTCAGGGCACTCCCAGAAGCCCGCCCCATCCTGACCACGCCCACCGCACTTCAGATCCCGCCCACTCCGTTTCTTGACCGCGCCTTCGCTCCAACCCCGCCCACTCCACTTCAGATCCCGCCCACTCCGTTTCCTGGCCGCGCCTTCGCTCCGGACTCCGCCCACTCCACACAAGACCCCGCCCGTGTCGCCGTCGACCCCGCCCATGCCACCGTCGACCCCGCCCACTCCATCCGCAGAACCCCGCCTATCCATACCGGGCCCCGCCCCTGTGGCTAGGTGGATTTCTCTTGCTTGATGGATCCTCCTGCTGGGTGGGAAACTTTCTCCAAAGCTGGTCATGAATGTGTGTGTATGTATTTCTCAACGTATTTTGGAATGTTGATTAAAAAAAAATGCTTTTGATAAAAGGGAGTGCGTTAAAGGTTTACCAGTCTGATTCACGGGATCTGAGGAAGGGTCACCGGACCCGAAACGTTAACTCTGTTTTCTCCTTCACAGATGCTGCCAGACCTGCTGAGCTTTTCCAGCAACTTTGTTTTTGTTCCTGGTTTACAGCATCTGCAGTTCTTTCGTTTTGATTCTCGGGATGGTAGGACCGATGAATGAAGAGATACTAGATGGGTGAGGACTGTATTCACAGGAGTTTAGAAGAATGAGAATGTTCTAACAGGACTAGATAATGTAAATGCAGAAAGGATGTTCCCGATAACAGGCAGAGGGGTAGTTGGGGGAAAATTCAGAAGCAGGGATCACTAATGATACAAGATAGGCCATTTAGGACTGAGATAAAGAAAGATGCCTTCACCCAGACACTGTTGAACCTATGGAATTCTCTGTCACAGAAAGTGTTTGAGACCAAACCCTTGAAGGTTTTCTAGAAGGAGTCAGATGTCGTTCTAAGGGATGAGCAGACCAAAGAATATGGGGTGAAAGCAGGAAGAGGGTACTGAGTTGCATGATCAGCCACAATCAAATGGAATGTGGAGCAAGTTCAAAGGGCTGAATGGTCTACTCTTGCTCCTAATTTCTGTGAAGTATTTCTGTCTTGCATTCATCAGGACACTTGACAAGAATACCTGTTTTTACTTGGATGAGAAGAGAGTGCTGATTGGTTGACAAGTAGACTCTGATGGTTGGAGGCTTTGCATGGAGAATGTGCCAATTAAGTATGGCTGACAGAGTCGACTTGCTAAGCAATCAACATGCTCTTCTAGTCCAACTTAAAACAAGCCCTAACTCTTTACATTTGTATTTATTGAAAATTGTCCTGATGAGTGCAAAACCAAACATTTTGACAAAATGTGAGTTTTTCAACAATACTTAATGTCTGCAATACCAAATAGAATGGCTTGCCCTTTTTAGCAGATAGCAGCTTATTGTTCACAGGGAGTTGAAATGTCAATCTTTTAGAAGGTATTTCATAAGATACCACACACTAGGCTACTTTGTAAGAAACAAGCCATGGTGTTATATTTAGTATGTTAGTATGGATAGAGGGGCTCTTGTGGCACAAGGTAATGTCCGTTTTTTTTTTATCCACTCATGGGACATGTGTGTTGCTGGCTGGCCATCATTTATTCCCCATCACTAGCTGACCTTGAGAAAGTGTGGGTGAGGTGCTTTCTTGAACCACTGCCATCCATGTGCTGTGGGCAGACACACATTGTTTTTAGAGAGGGAATTCCAGGATTTGACCCAGCAATAGCAAAGGAACTTTGATATATTTCCAAGTCAGGATGGCGAGTGGCTTGGAGGGGAGCTTGTAGGTGGTGGTGTTCCCATGTATCTTCTGCCCATCCTTCTCGATAGATGTTGTCCTGGGGTTGGAAGGCCACTCACGTTTCTTTGGCGAATTTCTGCAGTACATCTTGTACATAGTACACACTGCTGCTACTGAGCTTCAATGGTGGTGGGAATGGATTCAAGTCCCTAAGTTCAAATCCCACCCACACCAGAGGTGGCATGAATAGAGATTAACTAACTAATAGTAGATTGAGTGTTGGGATAAGGGGGACATTTCACATTTTCAGGATTGCAACCTGTAACGAGTGGAGTGCCACAGGGATCAGTGCTGAGGCTGAAATTATTTACAATCAATATTAATGACTTTAGTGAGGAAACTGTCAGCAAGTTTGCAAATGACAAAAAATAGGTGGGAAGGCAAATGGTGAGAATGACTCAATAGTTTGCAGAGAAATACAGGTAAAGCAAGTGGGTAGAAACTTGGTTCTGCACTTTGGCAGGAAGAAGAGAGGAGATGAATATTATTGAAATAGAGAAAGACTTCAAAAAGATACATTTCAAGGTATCCTCATGAAAAAATCTCAAAAAGCTAACATCCAAGTAGAATGATGGCATTTATTTCAAAAGGAATGGCATATTAGAGTAGGGAGGCTTTGCTGAAACTATACAAGGCACTAGTCAGACCACTGCTGAAATGTGATGAACAGTTTTGGGCCCTTGATCTAAGGAATGATATACCAGCATTGGAGGCACTCCAGAGAACACTCGGTTGATCCTGTGTATGGAGACAGTGACTTGTGAAAAGCAATAAATTGGGCCTGTGCTCATTGAAGTTTCAAAGAATGAGAGACGACCTTGTTGAAAGATTCTTATGGGACTTGACAGGTACATTTGAAAAGATAGTTTCCCTCATGAGGAGGGTCTTGGTCCAGAGGGTATAATCTCAGGGCCGTGTTCACTGACACCCTGGAGCATGCACAACAGCAGCGAAATTTCTGACTTGAACAGAAATTAAGAATATTAAAGGCCTAAGCCTGAACATATTAAAAAAACTGGTACATAGTGAAAAAAACTATTGAAAAAGAATTGATTTCCGTTTAAATTTTTAAAATTTGGCTATATATGGCCCACGTGCAGTTTGCAACATAGTGGAGGTGAGATATGTAGCCAGAATTTATTACCATATGGTTGCTGCCAAAAAGAAATTTTGTAATCTTGGTATAAACAGTCACCCATTTAAGAGAGAGATGATGAGGAATTTATTCTCTCAGAGGACGATGAATCTATTATATTCATTATCAGGCAGGGCTGTAGAGGTTGCATCATTAAATATATGCAAGGTTCAGATAGACAGATTTCTCCTCTGTCAGTTTTACTGTTGGAATCAAGGCGTGGCTGAATGGAAATCTCTCGCCCTTGAGTAAGAGGTTGTGCAAACATGGCACAATCCTGGAATTGAGCACATATTAAAAAAAACCCAAAGAACTGCAGATGCTGGAAAACTGGAACAAAAACAGGAATTGCTGGAAAAACTCTGTAAGTCAGGCAGCATCCATGGCGAGAAAGCCGAGTTAACATTGTGGATCCAGTGACCCTTCTTCAGAATCTGCTTTCTCTCCACAGATACTGCCAGAGCTTCTGAATTTGGAATACAGAGAGGCCTGGATGGACTGAACATGGAGAAGATGTTTCCTAATAGGAGAGATTAGGATCCCAGGGCACAGCCTCAGAGTGAAGAGATGACCCTTTAGAACTGAGATGAGGAGGAATTTCTTCAACCAGAGGGTGGTGAATCTGCGGAACTTGTTGTCTCAGAAGGCTGTGGAGACCAATTCATTGAGTGTATTTAAGACTGATGATTGATGAGTTCTTGATAGGTAAGGGGGTCAACAGTTAGGGAAGAAGGCAGAAGAATGGAGTTGAGAAACACATCAGCCATAATCAAATGGCAGAGTAGACTTGATGGGCTGAATGACCTAATTCTGCTCCGAAGTTTATGGTCTTATGGACATTACGATGCAGTATTAAGAGAGTGCTGCACCACCCAATGCATTGTAGGATAAAACATTAATCAGAGGTCGTCTTTGAAGACAAGTAATGGACTTATCCATGGGTAATTGATAATATTTCAAAATTACTCATAGAGTCAAAGTCACATGGCACTGTGTTCCTAAACTAAACTAGTCCCACATGCCTGCATTTGGCTAATTTCCCGCCCAACCTTTCCTATTCATGAACCTATCCAAATGACTTTTAAACGTTGTAACTGTACCTGCATCCGCCACTTCCTCTGGCAGTTCATTCCATGTACAATCACCCTCTGCAAAAAAGTTTCCCTCATGTCCTTTTTAAAACTTTCTCCTCTCACCTTAAAAATATGGCCCCTAGTTTTGAACTTCCCCACCCTGGGGAAAAGACCCTGGCTATTCCCTTTATCTATACCCCTCACAATATTATCAACCTCTATAAGGTCACCACCCCCCAACAACCTCCAGATAAAAATATTTTAGTTCTGACCTAAATTTCATAAAAGAAAATTGTGTAAAATAATGTAAAATATTCTAAGGACAATCTGAGCAAATGCTAAAAATATATAAAATTTATTCCATTGACTGCAAAATGCATTGAGACCATCTTGAGGATGTAAGAAGTATGATATAAATATAGGCCTTTCTTCATTTATTGGTCTTTTCTCTCCAACTGCTGCTACAGCCTGCTTTCTGGCTCCTTCTCTGGGGAACTTCATGAGATGCCTCTAAGGTGAGAAGAAGCTGGAATTGTAGAACGTCTTACTTGAATAAGAGTGTCTTTGAAGAATTTTTTTTTGTGTGCTGAGAAAACAGGACACGGGAAGGACAGGCAGTTTTTGTCCATCCAGGCAGCTTCAAGAAGGACACCAGAGTTTGTTTGACAGTCCTCCCTTTGAATCCAGAGGATGCTTCTCTGGGGGAATTTCTCCCGCGCTCTAATGTGTTGCTGATACACAATCTGAATCTCACTGCAGTACAATGTCTCTGTGAAGTAGTACTTTTGTTGATTTGTGAAGATCTTTATTGTCAAACATTTGCTGCTGTAGTTTAGACAAGGCCGAGCTAACACAGCTGATCTCCTTGTCAATGGTGAGAGAACTGGCCCAAGTTTTGAGAAAGGGCTCAATATTTTCCATTCAATAGATATGGAAGGTGGAATATTTGGCTCACCAGCCACATAGTA